CATGTAATCGGTATAAAAATGCCCCCCCCCTTACCCCGCTCTGCCCCCCTCCCCCACTCACTATGGGCTCCAGCAGTGCTCCAGGCAGCATGAACGTCTTCTGCTGGATCAGATTGTTGCGACCGTTGATCTCCAGCTGCGTCTTCAGGTGGGGCGGGGGATGCAGGTACTTGCAGTTGTCGCGTGTGCAGCGCCCCTAGGAGGCCAGAGACGGCATAACAGTGACGAGGACGGGCGGACGCTTCGTGCGGCCGTAATGAGATGGGCCCGACACAGACGGCGCCCTCTAGAGGCAAACAGAGGCTGTCACAGGGCCATGCACCCTACAAGGCTGTTATGCTGGTTAAAGCACTGGTTAAAACAGGAAATGCTGGGTTCGGAACTCAGCAGCAAGGGGGTCTCGTGTGGCTCAAGTGGCTGGTTCAAATGCAACGGTCACCAAAGTGATTCCACCCCCAGGCCCCTGATCAAGGTCCTTCACCCCCAACCAGTCCCAGAACCGCCTAAGGCCTCTTTCTCAGCCACACACCTTTAAATAAAAGAATCTGGCAAATAAGTTCATTATAAATTATTAATGAATTATAATTCCCATTCTGATCATTAAAAGACTTTTGAGGGAACAGAGTTTATGCGCATATATATAGATCACACTTTATATTATGGTCATCCATTATAAGGGCAATTTCCACCTTTCAAAAAGAATGAAATTTCAGACCACCTTGTCAGCTGCACTCGTTTTTTTTTTGTTAAACACTGTGGATATTTAAAGGGAAAGTAGCTTAAGGGATGGCGAAGACAGCGGGGAAATCTAAGCCGGAATTACAGGTACCCTCTGTGTGAGGAGAGGCCTGTCGGCTCCTATATTTGCTCAGAAACGCCTTCCGTTTCCTCGCCAGTAACGCACACGCAGTGATTTACAGTTACGAACCTGAAGTCGTTCTGTTCTCCATTCGGACCCAGGAGGGCGGCAGTAAAACACAAGTAACAGGGCAAGCAGCCGCAGTGACGTTCTGCTCTCCCTCTCCCCGCACGTCAGCCCCCGAGAAGCGCCCAGATGCGTACAAACACCCCAGTCATAAGAGCCTTGCGTCATCCCCTTAGAGAGCACTTAAGGCTACTAAACTACAACTCCCATGAGCCTTTGCCCCAGTGACTCTCCCCTAACTGCTACTAGGACAAACACAAATAGACACGGACCAGAGAGGAGGAGAGTGTGTCACAAAACGGCTGATTGGGGACATTCTGGGAAAAATAGCCACTGACAAACCGTGAGCTTGTGTCAGTATAACAGCCCCCATGACTAAACTCACTTTGCGGGGGGTTTACCAGCCCTCTATGAAAGACCCTTGTCAGTGTGTTGACCTTGCTGTTCCACAAAGAGATGCTGTAAATAGCACGCGCATTGGCTGGAGTAGCCATGGAAACGGAAAGGCTACCGCAAGCACATTTCTGCCGGTGCCCCCTCTGCCCTGCAAATGGGATGGAGGGATGAGAAAGGGGGAGACCTCGCCCCCACCAGAGAAAACGCTAACTGTACCCTTTAGCAAAGCTGGGTACGTCGGTCATGTTGTTTGAACAAGCAATGATCGGCTTTCAGGAAACAAGCAAAATGGCGATAATTACTACTAAATAATTAATGAAGCAGAAATATTATATTAAATACAGTGGATCGCTTATAGTGATCACGGTTATAGTGATCAACCGTTATACGCATCAAAAACCTTGGGACAGAATCATTCCTATACAAACACTGTTTAAATAATTTGCTTATAGTAATCGAGTACTCTGCTGTTTATACGTCAACATACGGAAAAAATAAAACTATTCTAATCCTTTCTTTTTTCACTTTACTTTGATAAGCCTACTTTGCCTTGCGGTAACCAGTCAGTAGCTACCTGAGGCTGATGCTACACAGGATAAGAAAAGGAAAGTTATTTTCTCTCAATGACAAATATAGACTCATCGACGCTTATGATCAACTGCCAAAAACGAGCCACTGAGATGCATCAGCAAAACTATAGTAAGCTGTATTTTATGTACAATATTGTACCGTACTGAAGCGTCGAGCAGACCGAGGAATCGTGGCGGTGAATGAAAACGCAGAGAGGCGGACTGACACGAAGTTGTTCCTTATGTTATTCCTTAAAGGGACCCCACAACACACAAAAATTACACAAAAACCATGAACGACAGCGAAACATGGGGAAGTTACACTAAGGACAGTAAGGCTCACACACGGTGGGTAATTCATTTTACGTACAATACTGTACTGTATTATAGTGTATTTGAATTATACATAGTTCAGTCATTTGATTTGTGCTGTATTGTAATTTGAAAAGTGTTTGAAACAGCTGTTCTGTATTTTTTCAATAAAATTCTGTAGATAGGGACGCTGTCTGTTTTATTACCTTATATTAATGAATATATAAATGTCAATTAGATGTTAATCTGCCTGACACATAGGAAAAGGAAAAAAAATGGGTTATAATGATCATCCGCTTATAGTGATGAATGTCACCCAGACAGACGTGATCACTATAAGCGGGTTCCACTGTTTTACGATTATAGGTCAGGCTGAGGGACGGAACCCTCTCTAGCCACTGGGAGTTCATGGCTGTCCAGTGGCCCCCATATTTACGAGTTGGGGTGGGGGGGGGGGGTTCTCCTAAACTCCAGCACTAGACTGACTCAAAATCAGGCAGCTGGAAAAGACATGACTCTGAGTGGGAGGGACTCTCTCGTCACCCTTACCGAGCGATCACAAGGCCGTCTGTCACTCGGCACCTGCCGCACCTGCGTCAGCCGGGCGGCCAATGAGGAAGCAGGTACTGCCCCAGGGGGTGCGAACAGCTGGACGCAGAACCGAGTCGACAGTCAGCTTCTGTCATCACTAACGGCAACGCCAGGCAGAGTAAAACCATCCTGAAAAAGGCACCTTTCTGTAGCACATGCAAACCTACAACTCCCCCCCCCCCCCCCCCCCAGGTCTTTCAGCAAAATGTCATACATCCTACAGCGTGACGCCTGGCAACGCGGGCGAATGCATCGTATGAGATGGGCAAGATGTTGCTTGGAAATCCGCTGAGTAAATGAATCAGCACAATTTCAGTAGGAGGCTGGTACTGGGGTGGGGGGGGGGATTGGGCACAGTTTAAAACTGACCTCTAGTCAACCGGCTCAGGGTCACAGGCAGAGTCCCGGGTGACAGAAAGAGCCGGCGATTCATACGATGTTTGTGTGGACTGTGGCTCCATTGCTAACGCTAATGACGACACTGTGGGTGGGAGGAGACGGCAGCACTCAAGGGGGACAGTGAGGCCCCCGGCCCTTTACCTCCCTGACAGGGCCCCCGCCGTCAGGACTGCAGGGCTCATCGCTATCATGTCAGCCAGTCCCCCCCCCCCCCCCCACCTCAGCACACACACAGCCTTTAAACCCCTACTGTTTTTCTCAATGAATTCAAAACTCAGAAGAACAGCCTGTCCTTCCGGGGTGATGCGGGAATTAAAAGCGGGGGATTCACCTCAGGCGGGGCATCGATCCCACGCCATCGACAACACCCCCGGTGCAGCCAATCACAGCACTGGTAGCGATTTCATGCTCATCGAGCTGGGGTGGGGGGCCAGATCTATTAATCAGATCCGCCGGCACATCAGCAAGCCTGACCTCTCGCGAGGCGAGCTGATGGGGGGGCAGCGAGTTCGGCCTCAAACTGGGACGCGGCGCCACGCTGGCAGCTCCGGGGAGTTTGTGAGAAAACCGGGTGCGTTGACATTTTTAATGACAATAAAGAAAGTACTGAAGCACTGCAAGACCGAATTACCTCAAGAGAGCAATTACCAAGTTCAATTTCTAATTACTAAAAATACAGTCACTAAAATACCAATTCTCAGCTGTTCAATTACTAGTTATTAAAATGCTGATTATGACCTCCTAGATTACTAATTACAAAAATACTAATCAACTCCTCCTTTACTAATTACTATCCTACTAAGTATGTACTGCTCAATTACTAATTACAAAAATGTTAATAATCAAATGCTCAATTACAAAATGGTTAATCATTAATTGCTTAATTACAAAAATGGTAATTATCCATTATGCAGTTGTTGCTCTCTGAGTCGATTAGTGAGGCGATGCTGTGGGGGGGGGGGGCTGCTTACCTTAAGCGAGTCGAAGCAGGCGATGACGCGCCCGTTGTCCACGTGGCAGCTGCGGGAGGGGTGGGCGAACTTGCACTCGGTGTCGGACCGGCAGCATGTGCCGCGCTGGAACTCCCGGCAGACCTCCAGGGTCAGCCACTTGGTGTCGCGGCCCATGGCCACATTGACGGCCATAGCGGCGCCCGGGACGCTCCGGGGAGCGACCGTGGCCCGAGGTCCGAGATGGAAGGTGGATCGGCCCCTCGCTGAGCCCAGGCACGGGCCGGCCCGTCCGCTCAGACCTGCCAAACAGCTCCTAGTCGCGGCCGAGAGGTGTTTAGAGGCGGTCCTCCACAGGCCGCCACCCCCCTGCCGAAACGGCTCGTCCCAGCGAGGTCAGCTGATGAATGGCACGCAGGATGTGAGGATGGGAGGTGGAGTCACTCTGCCATTTTGGGGGGAGGGTCAAACGGGGACACGGCTACCCTTCAGAGGAAGTGACAACACGCAGTCAGGTAGTGGTGTGTCACGAGGGCACTCCCACTGCCCCCCCACCTTTAATACTGCTGAGATAGTCAAACCCCCCCTCCTCCAGGCAAAACTCACCACTGTGAGTGTCCGGGGGGGGACAGAGGCGCAGAGTCTCCTGCTCACGCTGCCCCGCCTCTCCCTCTCCCAGTAAAGGCCCGTCTCGTCCTTCGAGTCCCGTCCTCCTCTTCGTTTACTTCTGATCCGGTTTCCTCTTCTGCGGCAGATTCTGGGGGGGGGGAAAGACCTTGAAGAAAACGATTCAGTCACTCGCAAGGAAACCTGCAAGTTCACAGAGAAACGAGGGCAGATGTCGAGACGGGAACTATAAAGAGAGAGAGAGAGAGGGAGAAAGAGAGAGGAGCAATGATAGAAACACAGAGAAAGTAGGAAATCAGCAGAACAGGGGAAGAGACAGACAGCGTCTCGCAGGCGGGGGCCGGACCTGGCTCTGTTACTCCGGGGAGCGACGCACCGGGCTCTCAGCAGAGACACCCCAGCAGGGGGCGCTGGATGATTGCAGCTCACTGATGTCTGTGGCCATCATAACGACATCAAGGAATAATAAGGTGAGGAAGAGGGGGCATCGCTGCACATGCTGCAGCTGCTCTATATGGCGCACGGCATGAGCCAATCCTTGCGCATCTTACAAGCAGGCTGGCTAAAGCAATGGCCAATCAGATGGCGTGTTACATCGCATGCGCTCTCCCTCACCGCCCAGCTCTCTCCCCCTTCCTCCGACTGGCTGTCATTGTTATTCCCGCCGCACGGGAGGAAATAAAAGGGAGTGGAGTGAGCATCGTGTCCCCCCCCCCCCTCCCTTCCTGGTGCGTCAGTGAGCCGTATGCAGGCCACACGTCACCAGAGAGGGACGGCCATGACACGCGGCGGGTAGCAAGGGTGGGAGGGGCGAGCAGACAGCGGCCAGGGGAGGGGAGGAGCGCGAGCGAGTGGAGACGCGGCCGAGGGGGGAAGGCGGGGCAGACGAGAGGAATGGCGGCGGATGATGGGGAGTTCCAGGCCAAGGAATGGACTAATGAGAGAGAGAGAGAGAGAGAGAGAGAGAGAGAGAGAGAGCAGAAACTATGGAGAGAGGAGAAAGAAAAGGAGAAAGGAGAGAGAGAGAGAGAGAGAGAGAGAGAGAAGGGCAGGGATACCAGCTCGCTGTAATGTCAAAAAGGCAAAAGCACAAACCCAACAAACCCAGGGAGAGCAGACTTAGCAGAGGAGTGACAGCATCCTGGGGGGGGGGGTTAAACGTCACCATCAGACACCAGAGGGGGCATATGGGAGGGGGGGGGCACATTCTGCGTAGGGCCTCAGCAGCCTGCCTACCTACCCAGAGGGTTTCCTTGGGGGGCACCAGCACCCAGAGGCATTGTTATTCCCGCCGCACGGGAGGAAATAAAAGGGAGTGGAGTGAGCATCCTACCTCCCACCTCACATCACGCCTCATTGGATACAGGGAGCCTGGAGCAGCTCATTGGGCGTTACATCACATGGGGCGGAGCCAACACATCCTACCAGAGTGTCAGTCCAGGCCAGGGATTTAAAAAAAATTACGTTAACATCATAAACGATCGATGCGTATAAAAACTAAAATAAATGCAAATGCAAAAAAAACAAACCCAGGTATTGCATTTGCCCGAAGCGCACGCTGACGGGCTCTAGCAGGGTGAGTAAATGTCACCCGGGGTCACAGGCCAAACTCTCGAGAGACACAGACACTGCGGGGTCAGCGCCACGTCCATGGGACTGGGGGGCACCACCCGGACTCCTGCCCCCCGTCACAGAACCCTAACAATGCCAGGGTACCGGGTGGCACTTTTCACCCGACTGCATTCCGGATTTTTGGCTCCTTCCCCCATTTCATCTTGCCTCCCTACATGCCTGTTCACGCCCCCCCCCCCTTCCTTATTACATAAATAACAAGAACTGAAGCATTTAAGGTAGACCTGCAGGATGGGTGTCCCGCCTCTTAAAGGTATCACTTGAATTCAAAGCCCGCCTTAAACCCGTGTGGCTGACACCCAGCAATAGGAAACAGACTTCTGTAAAATTTCTCCCCGAGCATGAAATCCACTCGACTTACTTACAGCTCAACATCACTGTCTTCAACAGGATTTCTTTTTCATAACAATTACACTGCTTCAAATTCTAAACAGACAAGTATTACAGAGATCACCCAAATTGCAGCGCTACTGAAACAGAAACTTGCATACGGCCTCCTCCCGGAAAAATACCACGTTATCTTTTCCGTAACTCACTAGTGTGCTGTGGCCAGACCCTCAGTCAACATTTCCATCTCTAATTCTGACCTTAATCAGAGGCCGCGCCGCCTCCGCTGTCAGGCAGACAGAGAACCACTGACGGACGGGGTGGAGAGGGACCCCAGAGTCAAAGTCAGTCACAGTCAGAGTGATGGTGCGTGTGACTCGTCTCTGCAGCACCACCCAGTCCTGACAGCACCCCGAGCTTCACGGGACGCCCCCGCCCCCCAGCGACAGCTCAGCCAACCTTCAGGAACATCTGCAGTACAGTGGCTCCCCGCAGCTAACACTGCCCCCGCGTTAAGCTAACGCAGGGGGGGGGGGGAGGGCGCAGCTGCAGTAACCCCAGCCAGGTAATGCGGCACGTTTCCCACCCGGCCGCAGCATGAACGCTCTTCTTCCCGACGGGGTTAGCTGGCCGGATTTTCAATGAACAGGCCGCACGTCCGCGTCTGGCCCAATTTAGGGAAGGTGACGCACCGGCGGGGAGGAAGCGGCGTTTGGGACGGGCCGGCTGCTCGCCGTCTGGACGCAGAGAGTGTCTCAGGTCACTATGACGTACTGGACGAAGCAGCACCTGTCCTTTACTCACAGACATTCTGAATGACAGAGAGGGTAGAATGAGAGAGCGCACTGAAAGCTAAGAGACGGCGCGAGAGGGGAGATCAGATAGACTTCTGTAATCTGATCGTGTATCTGCAGGTTGGGAATCAAACACTAATTTCACAAGGGCAAACATGCCCTGAGTTATAATCAGTCATGATTAAGTACAGGGGAAGTATACGCTTCACCTGCTTTTTCAGTTTTGCCAACCAATGATCTCTGTGTGGAAAAACAACATCTCACTGTAGCTGAAGTCGCTGGTATTTTCCATGGGCTTGTACACGTCCTGTGGGCCATGGGCTCAACGTCACAGCCCAGGCTGTTTTTGGTTGGAAATCGTTCTCATCGAGCAACGACGACGTCACTTTTAGCTAAACCGACTGGAGGAGGACAAGGGGAGGGCACCCCTGCAGGCCCTGGGGAGGCCTGGGTAAGCTGGGGGGGGGGAGGCAGGCAAGCAGTGAAGCAGTGCACTGCTCAATCACACCATAAAAGAAAAAAAAAAACAAAAATCACTATGACCTGAGCCTCTTATTACCGTACAACATTTTTTGTAAATAGATCTGAGCTTTATGCTCATTTATGTTTGACAAGCAGGCTGGGAATTTCACCGCAATCCCTGCTGTAAAGGAAACCGGGCATCTGCCAAGGAGAAGAGACCCAGAGCAAGTCTGAGAACAAACACCTTTCTGAAAAACCACACGGGCGAATCGGAGAGCGCTAACTAGTGGGCCGAGACTCTCAGCGGCCTCATTATGACTGTTTACCACCTCCGGGCCCCCTGCAGTCGTTACGGACAGAAAAAAGGGCATCCCCAGAGCGCAGAGGAGTATCGGGGGAGCTCCTGAAATGTCTGAATAGCAGAGGATCCCCTCTCAGTCCCACAGGGGAATACGGCAAAAAGAACACACAGGTAACAGAAGGAAGGAAGCAGGCCAAGATACAGAGAGAGAAAGAACTGAAGACACCAAAGCCAGCCAAACACAGGGTACATGTCCAAGTGACCAAACAGGAAATGAGGTCAGAGCAACAGGAAGTCAGGCATTGGCGTTTAAGCTCCTCCCCCTTCATAAGTGACAGTCCCCTATTAACATCTGCGCACCACTTAAGGTTAGGCAGAAAGGCGGCTTCATCGTCGGGGTTTAATGGGAGGCATTCGGATATGCAGCGTGATCTACAACGCAGTGAAATGCTACCCAGCAGTGTGGTATTACAGGAGTCTTTCTGAAAGGCTAAATAAAACGCACCGCGCCGTTACTGAAATGCATCCTGCCACTTAACCGTATTTATATCTCTGCATTTTCTGAAACTTACCGCTTCAATCTATAATGGACATCTATCAGGATTTATCACGTAATAGCGGCTCGAATGCTATAAATCAACTATTCCCATAATTACAAATCTGCGCTGTAATTTTTAAACACGCGCAACCAAACGTGGGTGCTCCTCTATTCACAAAGACAACATATCGAACTAATCCGCTGCATTTTATCTAACATTATCATTTAATGAAGTCCGAGCACGGCGGGACGGGTGCAAAGTCCGCGGTTCGTGGCAGCGCAGGACGTGAACGTGCGGCTCGATGTGCAATCAGACGCGGCTTTTGGCAGGGAGCCCTAAACATCCCCACTGTTATTATCCGCAAGACGGCCACGCAGTGTCACCGGCTCCCCCCTCCGGACACACGTTCCCGTCATCTCCCATTAATCGGAAGCAGGATCGATGCCACGTCGCTGGACACTTATCTGGGGCGGGGGGGGGGACGATCCGTACGCCGGGAAAGCGGGGCGCCCGATTAATCTACAGCCAGCCGCAAGTGACTCGTCCTCAGAAATGCAGGGTTGCCAACTCTCAGGCAAGGAATCTTACGGCATATCCATATTATTCTATTATAAACCTAAAATTAACTACATCAGAAGCGTTGGGGTAGTTTACAATCCGTATAGACTATTTACAAGATAATAAAACTCTTATGTAGGCCTATATGTAAATGTGTGACTTGACTCACGCGAGTCAACTGACCAAAGTTGGCAACCCTGGAAATATGTGTATATGTATATATAATCTTTAAACCCTAGATTTTCCACTACTCCAACATATTAATCACCTGTCTCTCATTCGTCTCACTCCCTGTTAGGCCAGAGTTCCCTAACTAATGTCATCATTTCATAAATGTATAAATGGGACGTCCATAGGAAATATTACCGTATAATTAGATCATCGAGCCAGTAACTAGAACAGCAGATCATATCAGGGGTTCCCAAAGCGTTCATTTTCAGACACAAAGACTCCTTACTTAAACACGTTAAACATTTCAACTTTCATAAGTCTGAACAAGCACGCCTAGCACAAAAAGCCATAACGTCATTTAAACGAGCCCCCGATCTGCACACGCAGTTTAGTACAAAAAGCAAAGCCATGGTATCTGAGCGATCCCTTCAAAGGCAGTAGATGGAGATGTGTTACATATATACAAGATGATAAGAGCATCTTTGTGGAAAACGGCGAAGCGAGGCCCTGACTTCAGGGGGTGGGGGATGAATCATCATCATCTGATCTCTGGCTGTGGTTCCTCCGTCTTTTGCCCACCGGTCACTGCGGCACCGTCACGGACAGCGCGATCGGAGCCCGCTAAACCGGGCCAAGCAGCCGGTCCCGTTCGCGCCACTTCGGGAATCCAGCCGCGCATCCCACATGGGGTCTGCCGGCACGCATGTGCCCCTTCTGGACAGCCGGCTTCCAGTGTGCAGAACCGGGTACCAAAACGGGCCATCTTACAGCCGAATGTGGGTCTAACTGCAGAGGGGGTCAGGAACAGGACCACAGCAAGGCGGCAGCCCGGCGATCAGCACAGTCCGGGAGGGGGCAGGGTTAGTGAGAGAGGTCAGCATATACAGCAGCACTGCGATGCCGTGACAGCCGTCATGGGCACTTCTGCATTTCATATATAAACGTTATTTAAATTTTAAAAAACCAGCGGATCGGCTTCAGACGCCACCCTGCTGCACACCCACAAGCATCACGACACCGCCCGGCGCAGTTACATCACACGGTTTGAAGGCATTACTCCTGGAAGTCACAGTAAAACACAGCCAGAGCTCGGCACGATTATATCACATTACCGACGGTCACGATCCTCCGGATACACACGGTGACACACCGAGCAAATGCCCGTCTGAATGCTTACTGTATCCACACCGCATCCCGATGACCCGCACACACCCACCCGCATACACCCACCTGTCCTCCCGCGGAGCAAAGTGCGTTTCACCCTAAATATGTGGCGCAGGAGTGGGGGGGGGGGTCCGGCGAGTGTCTCGGCAGTACGGCGGTCATCAGCTTAACCCCACCGGTCCCACCCATCCCAGTCCCGGTTACAGCGCGTAAATAACCGCCGACAAGGCAAGAAGCCTAGGCGCATCCAACCTGTTGTGCTACATTTAAAGATCCCGCAGTCCGACTTGGAAAACGGGATCCCGGAGCTGGAGTCGGAGGCCGGCCCCCACATGCGCCCCGAGCGGCCGACGCGCCCCCCTACCTGGGAGCCGCCGAGTTCACTTTCCGGGCTGGCAGGCGCGCCTCCGCATCTCGCTGCGATGGTCTGAAAACGAAGACGCCGACGAAAGCTGGAGCGCCGCGACGCTCCGGCGCAGGGGAACCGGCTGACGGCGAGCAGCTTCCGCGGTGGGGATCGGGAGAGAAGGAGGGTCGGCAAGACAGCGTCGCTTTACAGTCCCCAACCGCCGCTGCGCAGAGCCGCGCCGCGCCTCGCCTCCATCTTAGGGGAATCCCAGAGCCTCGTTTCCTCTCGGGTGGAGTCGTGGCTGGAAGGCGGAGACTCGGCGGCCGAAAGGCGGCCGAACGGAGCGGGCTGGGCGTTCAGGGCTTCCGAAGTCGGAACGCAGGGCACCGCAAACCCCCTGCGGCACGATGCGTGTGTCGCAGGCACGACTCTACGACATGCCCTCATTAATACTTATTTTCAGGTCTTACCATTGTTTTTTTTTTTTAAACTTCTGCATGACAGCTAAGCCAAGACTTTGAACATATAACTTGATTCAAAATCCGGGAGCACTGTAGACCATATTGGCAGTAATAAACAGAAAAGGTTTATGTTATTTGCTCTATTTCTAAGATCATTTTTTAATACTACGGTGTGTGTAAGTCATGATTAGCATAAGGTAATCTGAGGACAAGCACTGTTCCGGGATCACTTCAATAACCCTGACGCACTACCAGCTGCAGTTAAGAAACGCTACTTGAAATATGCATTATTATGCGCTAGAGAAATGAGAAAAAATGAAATCCTCGCAAACCTTTACATCAAACCCTTTTCAGTAGTAATGTAATTCAAAAGACGGATATTTATATTGAATATTTGAGATTAAAATTGTATTAGTTCTATTGTAAAAGAAAAATGAAATATATTTATTGCAGTCAGTCAGCGCAGAGCAATTTTAAATACTTTGATTCACGGCACACTGAATCTGATGAAATGGAGAAACGCAGGGATCTATCTGTGCGGAGCATTCATCTTGATATCTGAAGGTCCCCAGCACAGCACAAAGTCCCAATCATCAGGCACCATCACAGCAGTGACCCTCACAGCCAGCGGTGGACAGCGGCCTTCTCAGTTTCCACTATTGTTGGTTTATTTCTCCCGGTTAAGCTGTTACCCAGTGCCTCACAATCAGGCACTGACGCTAAGCAGAATATGCTAGCATGTTATTCAGTGCTAACTGTCGATTAGTGTCTGTTATCCAGTGCCTCACAATCAGGCACTGACGCTAAGCAGAATATGCTAGCATGTTATTCAGTGCTAACTGTCGATTAGTGTCTGTTATCCAGTGCCTCACAATCAGGCACTGACGCTAAGCAGAATATGCTAGCATGTTATTCAGTGCTAACTGTCGATTAGTGTCTGTTATCCAGTGCCTCACAATCAGGCACTGACGCTAAGCAGAATATGCTAGCATGTTATTCAGTGCTAACTGTCGATTAGTGTCTGTAAACTGTCAAATTCTTAGGAAAGGCCAGAGGAGATAGCAAGATAGGGCAAGATACCAAAGTGTTCCCAGTTGTGTCCCCACAAGCCACAAAAAATGTATGAATACCGAGTTTTCTGTAGCAATTGTAATGAAATTTCTGGATGTCCATCTTCTGCAGAATTGCCTCATTTTCCCCGGGTGCTACTGGAGATGAAATTTATATAAAACATGGTGATGATCCAACTTTGGCAAAAATGAAGAATTCTGGAAAAGTCACTGGGTGTCTGTACTGGGTTATATGACTAAAAAAAAATTACCAAAATCTCTCCATACTTGCCTTTTCAGCTAAAGTTCAAAAATACAAATTCAAGTATTTATTGAAACTGAAATAAGACATTTGTGTCTAAATGAAGGTTTTTAATCTCTGATTCTTGTTAATTTTCTTTATTTATCCATGGAATTGTGGCCCCCAGTAAGGATGTGACAGTGCCACATCCTCTGGTGTTTTTACTGACATCAGAGAGGTGACAGCTGCGTGTGTGGCATAAAAAATCACTACTAAGTACACCTAGAGCCGCCATTTTGATAAATATCACCACCTCCAGTAAATATTAAAAGGCATGCAGACTGTGTGTCGGTGTCACTGTCACACAGCAGACTGCGGATGGCCATTGTAACTTCCCGGTTATTAAAAGGGCAGTCTTATGATTCACAGCTGGTGTGTGTGTGTGTGTGTGTGTGTGTGTGTGTGTGTGTGTGTGTGTGAGTACGTTGCATATGACTGCACTATGCTGTAAGTACCATTTCAGTTACTGATGTTATCACCATGATTCGTATAAAAAATTATATCACTCCTCTCCCTGATCATTCTTTTTCCAGTATCCAGTTGCTGAGATTAGGAGCATGTTACATTTTATTAACAAATGCAATGACTTTTAAAATGTATCAGGCATATTTAATACGGCACGGAAAAACATGAAGGTGAAAATACAAAATACAGATCAAGTCAAGTGTAAACAGAAAGGCACTGAACATGGGATCCCTGCAGCTCGCATTCACGCCCCATGTGACATCCAAGCACCCTCTGTTTGTGGAATCCAGACTTTCTGGTGTAAATTATGCAGCTTCGTGAATGTTTCGCGGCGATTCCACGTTTCCTTTTCAAATCCATGGGTGATCAAGTGAATGGATGTATAAATGACCTTTAGCGCGTGAAGGTCCTGGAGTGGGCAGGTGGCCAGGCCAGGCTGTACCCAGCTGAGCGCTCCTTTCTTCTCAGCATTGACCCCTTCGGATCAGCAGTCACTGATCATGGCTGGGCGGCGCAGCGGACTGAAATAAACACATGCAGTTTCAGAGGATAACCAGGAGATGGCAGTGTCGCCGAGCCATGAAGTGACGCCGAGCCTACTCTTGCGACAGCATGAATCAAAAATACGCCCAGCAGGTTCTAACGCAGTGACAATAAAGTAGAAAACATGTATTTGACCAAAAACAAATCTTTCATATGGTTAAGTGCTTAGTTGCTGCACATGTATTCGTTGTTCATAATGTATTTACTAACCTGTACCATTAGAATGAATGAACCAAGAGCACAGAACTATTACCGCTCCGGTGGGGAGAGCACTTTAACCAGTTATGCAGCTGAATATGTTCCTTGAACAAAGTACTGTCTATTAGGGAAAAATCACAGTGTTTGCTGGGAACTGAACCCGCTCTTAGTATTTTCCTAAAAGACCTACCGACCGACAGAGAACCACACAGCAAACGGGATGCGCGTGAGGCGGGGGACACGTGTCTGTGACGGCGTGTTATTGCTGCTCGCTTCCCCGTTCTGCTGCAGGGATAAACTCTGTTATGAACCTCTGTGACCCACTGATCTGAATTCCAGAGGTGGGAAATAACAGCCGGCATTTACCCTGCAAATGTAGTTGAGCTGAACTGGTGCTTTTCTGTGTACTTTTCCTCTAGAGTAGGCCTGTTTGAAAAGGAAGAAATGTGCTTTTTACTGCGATAGCTCTCGTCACACTCTTAATTTTTACTTTATTCCTTTGAATTTATTTAGCATGTTTTGCAATTCTTGTATTAAAAGTGGTCTTGTGAAATTGAACCTTTCGGTTATATGGGTAATTGTGCAGTTATATATTTTTAATTTTTAGGAGTAAATTGGAACAAAGAAGTTATTTTAGTTACCCCTAATCCTCCACATTAAGCAGGTCTAACCTTAACCTTACACATTAATTAACCAGGTTTAACCTTAACCCCCACATTAACCAGATCTAAATCTAACCTTAAACGTTAAGCAAGCTCAGGGCACCCTCGTTGGATTTAACTATTATTTACAGGAGTTATAGCGGTATAAAATATCAGCATACTTAATTACGTTTTAAAGTTGACGTCATATATATATGTATTTCGTAAATTAATATTATGTAACATTTTATAGGCGTTTCCGTGATGTATATAATCTGCTTCCGGGGGGTGAAATTTTTTCCCAAGCCGCCGAAATAGCTCAGTTGGGAGAGCGTTAGACTGAAGATCTAAAGGTCCCTGGTTCGATCCCGGGTTTCGGCATTTTGTCATTCGTTGAGGAATATAATTTTTTATTCATATATATGATCGCTAATCTCACGATTTTAAAGTTTGTTGCAAAATACCGCCGAATTACTGTCACATATTACGACAGCCGGACAGAACTTAGCCAGATCGGGCGGCGTGCTCCTATAGATCATGAGTAACTACATTGTCAAAATTTAATACGTCTTAGTTTAAATTGATTCATAATTACTTTTCAGTACGAATACTCGCAGCAATAAATTAACGTCATACCTAAATCCAAGACCGTACTTTGAAATGCAAGTATAGAACCAGTCCACGACTTGAAATGTATTATGTCTTTATTTTAGGAAGATCGTGCACGGTTTCATTAACGTATATGTGCTCAGTTGTTCCCCTGCGGAGGGATTTGATGTTTTCATGATCTCTTCTTTAAGGAGGACGTTTCGTTAATAAAATTACTGGAATAGTTTTAAAAAGAGGTTTGTTCAGTCACTCAAAAGTCAGCTTTGCGTATGAAAAGCGCTTGGGTAAGTATAACCGTCCACGCCTGCCGTAATTAACAGGTTTAATTTAACACCCATTTTAGCTTTTGGCAGTCCCAGCTATCTGAGAGGATCCATAGAGGACTCCGCATTTGCATATGACCTGCAAAGGAAGACAAACTGCCTCTTCCCCCAAAATGGATTTCCATCTGTATAATGTGATTTTACTGATTACAAGGTCTGGCTCCCCGGCCACGTTGCAATGCAGTTACATTAATGAAAAGGAACAGCAGCAATGAGATTGAAGACGCCGTTAACATATTTAAGTAACCTTAAACAGGACAAAATGTAGTACACATCGAGCTACTGTAAGAAGCAACCAGCTAGATTCCTGTTTTGTACACCATTAACATTATCCATACATCTTATTTGCTTCAAATGTTGTCATTTCTCCCCTGACCTCCACCGCTTTCAGCCTGTCATATGAGATTCTTTTTGTGAGCTACAGGGGGCGCCATCTGCATTTCAGAATTAACATGGATTTATCCTGGGGTAGACTGGAGTGCATGATTAATGGTGCCAACCCCCACCACAGTCAACTGCTTTTTGAAAGGGATTTAATCCCCCCTAGTCCAACCCCTAAACATATATATTAATAAAGTCATTTAATCAATTGTACCTCACAGTTGGCTAAACACTTGATAACATTGTGTAAAACGTAAATAATTGTTTCATAGTATCTAGATGGTTTGGTAACTAATTTCCTCTAATTTTAAGGTACATTTTCTTTGAAAGCCTACAGAATATGACAAACGCATGTTTTAAAAGGCTTCGAGAGATAGGGCATGTACGAGGGCCCCTGAGAGAGACTGTGCTACTTTCCACATGCTATTTCTGGCTGAACGCTGAGACTCCTACGGCGCTTGAGGGTTAAAACAGCCACACATTTACGCATATTCCAAAAAATGTCGCATTCCGCAGGGAGCAGGGCACCGTGGCCCTGATCCAAGGCGCACAGGGACCCGATCCAGGGCGTGACGGATAATCGGACCATGTTTCACCGCCTGTTCGACGTGTGATTCCGTCTCCACAACCAGCACTTAGGCTCTAAATCACACGTTAGGTGAAAGGGTCACAACTCAAACTGTATATTTTAAGGCAATTCGGTGAAGGGAAAAAAAAAATAAAATTACTGCGTTGACAGTACGCGTTCTGGCACTGACGAAATTTATGGGTCATCTAAAACTAAGGTTCCGTGCAAATCCGGATATGTAGGTCACGTCACTCATCAACAGGCACCTGAAACCGCTGCTTCAAGGGTAGGAGTAAAGATACGATATCCTGAAGCTGCAGTGCATAGTCTGGCGGGGTACAGCAGGAAATACGGCTACAAAAAGCACACGTAGGGCCACAGCGTGGACACGGCTCCTGTACGAGGAGGGGACGCAAACCTTACAGACCCTTGGGGACATTCCTGACCACTCGCTTGTATAGATTCACCCAAACAGCTGATCTGCATGGACTTGCTCTTAAGGTACACAGAAAAAGATGAACCTTAGGAAAGCACATCCGTACAGCAACCTCAGCAACATACGCTTCTGCAGATGGAGGAAATATATATTTTTTAAAAACAGTACCATAATTATATAGAATAAAAACAACTTATAAAAACCTGACTGTGTGGCTTTTAATTGTTCCTGGTCACCATGATTGAGGCTATATTGCTTTTCCTTTGTGCAAAGCTTGATATTGGACAAGCTGCTCCTTACTGTAGGTGAGGGATATCATTTCTCAGAGAAAGACCACTCCATGGACCTTCCATAACAAACCCCCCCCACCCACGCCACAGGACTCTACGCCAGTGTGGCTGTTCCGGGATCAGACACACCCACCCGCCTGACACACTCCCTATCCTTCCAACTCTGACAGACACTGTCAGCTAAAACCAGAACTCAGGCATTTCCTGCAAAAAAAAAAAAAATCTGAAAAATCCTCTCTGGCTATAAATCTACGTGTATAAACATGTGAAAGTAAAGCCTATTACTGTGCCCAGGGAGTCAGGCGGCCCGTGCTCTCGCACACACCCACAGCCCCTGTCACTGGGTGTGATGGTTATGGGATTTCGCTGTGTACCCCCCCTCACAGGCACTCAGAGCCACGCATTAAAAACAAGGTGTCTGACATCAAGCACAGGTGGTGAAGGGAAATGAGACGAGTCAATGGAGGGGAGTGAGGGGAGTTTAAAAATGGCCTTGCTGTGCACTAGCGTCCTTCCAGGGAGGTGAGGAGGGGAGGGGGGAGGCCGTGACACGCAGGAGCAGCCGGCTCCCTATGCTCTGCAGGCAGTCTGACGTCTCCTCGCTCTCTCGCTCGCTCCTCCTCCTCCGGGCCTTATCTCCTATGGGCTGCCAGCAGAGCTGACACACAACCCAGCAGAACCAGAACAGCTCCACCTGGGCCCATGGGGCGCGCCCCGCTCGATTGCCGCACATCCTTCTCCTCATTCCTACGGGGGCTTCCGGACTCTCGGGTCTTTTCGAGGTGTGGCGTGGAGAAGAAAATGTCCCGGTCCTCTTTGCAGGACAGTGGGTCACACCCGCTGCCGCTCTCGCCGCTGCCGTCCTCGCCTGCTGAGGGGCCGATACCAGGGACAACAGGACAGAGACACACCAGACACACTGTCAGATGTTTGGGGATACCTTGTCCAGTGCCCATCACACAGGTACGGCTAAACCCCGCCCACTACCAGTCACATGGGTATGGCTAAACCTCATCCACTTCCTGTCACATGGGTATGACTAAACCTCATCCACTTCCTGTCACATGGGTAGGGCTAATCTCACAGGTATGTTTAAACCCTGACCACTGACTGTCACACAGCTATAAATACAACATGCCCACTGGATCTAACACAGCCAAGACTAAACCCTGCCCACTGCCTATCACATGGGACAGGCTAAATCCCACCCACCAGCCATAACACAGGTAAGGCTAAATCCTGCCCATTGTCTGACATGTGTGAGGATATTTCCGCACCTCCCTCACCGACGTCGACGGCGATGTCGTTGCCGCTGTGCGCTGCCTTCAGACGACTGGTCATTTCCTTCAGCACAGCGATCTGACGCCGAATCCCTATGTCTGGCTTTGTGATGTCCACTTCCACATCTGGGTTCGATACCTGATTGGCCAAGCCAATTCCTGCCACAACCGACTCATACCTGAACAACAGGGGGAGGAACATTCACTCAGCTGCTGCCTTTATAAAGGTGTATGAAAGGTAGCTATAGAAGGCGAGCCAGAGCGCCCCCTACAGGGCACCCCCCTGAAGAGCGCCCCTCACCTGCTCTTGGCGGTACCGTTCCAGCACTCTTCAGCCTTGCCGACCCAGTCCCCTGAGCACACGGTCTCGGGCAGAGTGGACCAGAACTTTTTTGCAGTCCTCAGCTTCTTCTTCACATCCGTCACCTAAAGACACAGAGGGAGATAAGAATTACGAGAGAATGATGAAGAGAAAGTTCAAAGGAGCCTGAAGAAGAGAAGAGAATGTAGATGAGAATGTACAAGAGAGGAAAGGAGAGAAGAGGACGGACGGCTCCAGATAATCAGTCATTGTGGAGAAAGCCAACAATCAGACGTCTTGCTCCCACCTCCTCTACAATCTGATTGGTTATCTCTGAACTAATCATTTTTCCTTCTGCCGTTAGAACATTTTGGTGCAAGTAAAACCCCCATGAGCGCATACACCACTCAGCTACACTGGGTTACCATGCACACCACAAGTTGGATGGAGACATTCTGGATTCGTGGCCCTACCAGTCTGTCGAGGCTGGTGCCGGCTGCAGTGGTGGGCCGGGTGTCCGGGCTGTAGGGCCGGAATCTGCCGGTAAAGCCGCCCTCCTTGATGGAACGTCGGGAGCGCAAGTCTCTGGCCAGCTTGGGCTGGCCACACCCCTGGAATACCTGGGAAATGGACATGGGGGGGACCGGGTAATGTTGGAAGCAGCATGTGCAGTGACTGGTCCATTTACGTCACATGGTCCATCACAAGAGTCAACAAACAATCTGGGTGCGTCTGAAAATGCACACTTACACAGTGGGTACTGAACTTTGTGAGAATCCTACTGCTCAGCCGTGATGCAGTACAAACCACATGCGTGCATAAGAACAGCGTGCATGCATTTGGACGCACTGCAGTCGGATCTTACATCTTACCGGACCCACAGTTTATCAATGTCATAACTTGACCCACATGAAAGTTAAAAACTACCAGGGAAAAATATATTTTTGAGGCAACACATATACGTGGTTACTGTTCTCTACTTAAATGAGTACAGAGATGGCACCCCCTACGCCATTTGGACAAAAATTTCAGAGTGAGGAATGTCCTTTCATCTCTGGTTACTGCTTCAGCTGCCTTATAGGATAGCAAAACATCCACTGATTGCACACTTTGGAATTTCATAGAATGTAGTACATCATCTGGGTACCATTCACCTACTGTGTCTCAGCCATACTTAGGATTCAAGCATACTGCTCATGTCGCATACTATATTTCACATACTAGATAGCAAACAAGTATGCTAATTCGGACACACCCTCTGTATCTAGGACAGAGGTGCCAATGAGTTGACCCTCACAAGCGGCAAAAGCATAGTAAACAAACAATATGTATGGCACAATTTCTAGGCAAGCAGTCAAGCAAAAAAGTTCTGTTAAATAATGATAAATGGGAGGAAAGGCTATAAGTAGGATACTGTGTGCTGGTTCATGTAGAAGCTGAGGGTTCAGGTCAGAGGTCAGGTCTGCTAAGAGCAGAGGTGGAAAGTTCGGGTCCATTAAAGTACAAATCCAGATCAAGATTTTGTTTCAGCCAACCAGTTGAGTACTCTGTGACTGACTCATTATACTCAACCGGTTAGTTGAAACAAATTCTTGGCCTGCATTTGTATTTTCTGGACCTGAACTTTCCACTTCTGGCCAAGAGGCCCAACACCAGCTCTGCTTCGCGACGGGACCCGACCTTCTGCGAGACCTGCAGGCTGTTCTCCTGCATGTTCATGATGGCTTCCGAGATCTTCACGTCGATGGGGTCCATCACAGACTCGAAGTTGAACGGCCCCTCCAGCCTCTCGGCAAGGCTCATCATAGCATCTGAGACAGACAGGGAGTGAAGGTAACATGGACAGGGAGGGAGGGGTACATATACAGGGAGGGAGGGGTACATATACAGGGA